GCCCACCACCATCAATCAACATAGTTAGGTTCCAAAGACCAGGTTATTATGTGAAAAATCAGCATTACATCAAAATTGAGGATAACCACATCAGATTACAAAATGGAAGGTGAATACATCATTACATAACAGCCAGATCCATCATGGCATAACTGCTAAGTCCCTAAGAATTATGGCTCAAGATGACACATAACCTTAACCATCACAGCAAGTGTTACTCTCTCCTTCAATCACAGAATTTGTTACTACCAGATTCATGTTACTAATGTGCAAAGTAATCAGATAGTAGATCATTTACTACTGTCATAAATGTGAAATGTTAATTAATAAGTGAGGAGTTGTCATATGTTTATGTTTGATTCTATTTTATAGTTTTTAGATTTACTATTTTTCAGCCATTGTTATCATATTTCCCTTTAATTTTAAAAAATATTGGTTTTTACTTCTTTAATCATATTTATAATATCTTCTTTGAAGTCTTTTTCTACTAATACTAACATGCGGGGACACTCAGAGACAATTTCTGTTGACTGTTTTCCTGAGTATAGTTTGCACTTTTCCTGTGTCATCATCCCATGTCTTTATATTTATTGTTGAAAACTGGACATTTTAGTTAATTCATCATCACAACTGTGGATTCTGACTATTCCCTCTAGAAAGTTATAATTGTGTGTTAAGTTCCAATGTTAACTTCTCTGAAATAAATTTGTGAAACTTATTCTTCTTCCATTCTGGTGGGCAGCCAGTGAAGTCTCTGCTAAAATAATTTTCATTCTCGTTTTTATTGTACAGGCTAGTCTCTTGGAGTTTCCTCTGATTTTTTGCAGTTTAATGGCAAGGCAGTGATTTGCCAGAAGTTTTTCTCAAACGCCTTACCATAGTAAGATTCTCACCTTTTGATAGAGGATCTTGCATTCAAGGTTCAGTTCTTTTTCAAGCCATCTTTCACTTTTTGACAGGCTCTCTTATCTCCAAGGAACTACAAACACTTCCAGTTGGCTGTGGATATGTAAGAGTTTATCTCTTTACATATGAGCTTCTATGACTGCCTTATTGCCTATATCTTCATATTAAATTCTGGTATGTTGTTTGCTTTAACTAGATCGACACCCTCAGGCTGATAGAACTTCTGAACTTCCCTGTTAGTTTACCTCCAAGATTGATTCTTATTAGTGGTATGACACTGGCCTTGGGTTTTTCTCATTGTAGTCCAAATCAAGCCCCCGCTGACAGTGAAGTTTCTGGTTATGCACGATCTGCCTTACCCTACTAGAACTACCAGGCTGAACTAGTTAGTGGTAGGTGTGGTGGATGGGAAAAGTGCCCGGCAAGAATGCCACAGTCTCCCACCTTTCTTACCTGAAGTTCAGTCATTTTTCATGAATTAACATTTCAGTGATTTTGTTGTAATTCTTTGGTTCCAGAATCCAAATTTTTATGGGAGAAGATTTGAGTATCACCTTACTTTAGAAGTCTGGTTTGTCTATTTTGTCTTTCACACTAAATTATAACTTCTTGATAAGGGAGACCCTATTTGATACATTTTTAGAATTTTTATTTCCCAAACTCACTCGCAGCTCCTCAGAAACTCTATACAGAGTCTCTATGGGTTGGAACCCATGCAACGGCACTTAACAACAACAATCTTGTGGTTCAAACTGACCTTGTTGTCCAGCGCAATATCCTGAAGCACCATACCAGGTCGATAACAATTGGTGCCTGAAAATGCTACTCATTGTAAGTGAAATATGAATAAATGAAATTTGCAAAGAAGTTTATAAAATCCTTTCTTATATTGTACACTGCATATTTTTTGAAACTCTTCTGTGATGTAGGTAGAATGGGTTGTTTTCCTTCCATCCTCAATTTATCGATGCGAATTGTGAAACATAGTAAAATTAAATGACTCACCAAGGTGCATTCAACTGATATATGACAAACTGGAAAATGGACCAAATCTCCTGATTTTGGATCTATGTTCTTTACACTTACCTATGCAGGGTTGGAAGGTGTCACAAATTTTAAAACATAAAATTATAAAGTAAATAAGAGAGTAAAGGCAGCCCTCTTTATTTTGAACAGTCAATTCTTGTTCAACAAATTTGAAAAATATGAAGCCGAGAAATGCACTAATAGCTGAGTGTGCTACACGAGTGTCCAATAGATAAGACAGACTCATCTAGACACATTTCCTTGGCTGGACAGCTTTCATAGAGTAAGGAAGTTAAGAAATTATGGGGTGCAATGCTGCAGCAGAGTGTGTCCTGTTACATAAGCTTAGGATTCAGGTGTCTCTTATGGAAGTGGTCAAACCAGCTTTCTAGTCACTGCTGTAAAGGAGCTCATGTGTCATTAAGACAAATGGAATTTAAAATTTGTTGTATCTTAGGTTTCTCAGACATTAGGTTTTTGTTTTTATTTTCTGTTTCCTCTTTCCTAGTTTTCTAATTTCACATCACCAATACTAAGGTATAAATGGCAGAATTTCCTTTTCAATAAGTCTATTCTTTAGGGCAATTTGAATCTGATTTAGATTTCTTCTCTTTTTGGTCATAATGTGGCTTACACACAGTGTACCATGAAAGAGATAGATTAAAATGGTATTTATTAAATATTTGTTGTTAGCCTCTATACCATTGTCCTGGAATCAACCTTAGTTCTCTATCAAGGATTTTACAGATAGCCAAGGCAGCAAGCATCTAGATCAGGGTTTCTGAAAGTATTATCCTAGGACCAGTAGCCTTAATAGCACCTAGGAACTTGCTTGTTATTAAGTACCTTCAATTCAGTTCTGACTCACAGTGACCATAAACACAACAGAACAAAACACTGTCCAGTCCTGTCCATTCTCACAATTGTTGTTACATTTAAGCCCATTGTTTTTTATGGCTGTGCTACTCCATTTAGTTGGGGTTCTTACCCTTTTTTGCTGACTTCTATTTTACCAAGTGTGATATCCTTCTCCAGTTACTGAGCCCCAGAAATCTGTGTCTTAACAAGCTCCATAGGTGATTCTGAGGATTACTAAAATTTGAGACCACTCATCTAGCCATTGTAAAATGTGTAAGCCTGAATCTGTATAAGGCAGAAACTTGTCAGAGATGAAACTCAAATATTTTCCACTAATGTTGTTTTCTTATGTGCCGTGGAGTTGGTTCCGACTCATAGCGATCCTGCATAGGGTTTCTGAGGCTGTAAATCTTTATGGGAGCAGAAAGCCCCATCTTTCCCCTGTGGAACTGCTGGTAGTTTCGAACTGCTGACCCTGAGAATAGAGCAGTAAAACAGTGGTATGATTGTATCCTTTCAAAAGCAGAACTTGTAAGATCCTGAAAAACAAGGCAGTTCTGTCAAGTTCTTGCTTTCACAAGTTAAACTCATACATTAGAACAGATGCAAGAATAGGAAATATATACCTAGGTCAGACATGAAAATCATTAACTCTACTATTGTTCGTGGAAGGGACTAGGAAGGTTTGTAGGAAGTGACATTAAAAGTGTTCATAAGAAGAGGTAGCTAAGTCACTATAAAATAGAGTTTCTGAGATTTAGAGTTTGGGAACTTTAAGATGGGACCTCTCCAGAGCATTATAAAAACTTAGAATGTTAAAAGTAATTATATATTAATCAGAGGCAATGTCTTTTAATTTATTGGTAGGATTTATGGGTAAGTAGGAATGGAAGAAGTCTAAAATCCAAACATGATCAAGTATGATTTGAAAATGGGATAATTCTACCTCTGTCATATATGCATTTTTAATGTTTTAAGTTGCAACTAGAAACACAAATGTATTGATGAGCCTTTTTTCATTATGTACTTTATCAACAAATACCTTATCAAGCTAGATAGGGACATGGATTCTAAAGTTAGAGATATTGAGATTCAAACCCTAACTTTTCTACTTACTGTATGATCTTGAGAATTCTTTAAGTCTTAATTTCCTCATTTGGATGGATACTCTGCTACTATTACCATCAAATCAATTCTGACTCATACTGACCCTATAGAACATACTAGAATAGTGTTGTAGTATACAGACAATTTACAAGGCTGTAAATCTGTATGGACACAGATTATCACATCTTTCTCCCACGGAGTAACTGGTGGGTTTGAACTGTCAAACTTTTGTGAGCAGCCAAGTACTTAACCAACATGCCATCAGGGCTTCTTATCTGGACATTGATTGGTTGGTTGTTGTGTGACACCAAGTTGGTTCCAACTCACAGCTACTCTATATAGGACTTCTGAGATTGTAAATCTTTATAGGAGCAGAAATCTCAACTTTCTCCCATGGACCACCTGGTAGATTTGAACTACCGGCCTTGTGGCTAGCAGCCCAGCTCATAATCCATTATGCTATCAGGGCTCCTTATATCTAAACACTAGGGATAATAATAAATTACTAAATAACTCACCCAAAATAATTAAGTACAATACCTGGCCATAGTCTGGGTTCATATAATGTTAGGTAGTATCATTTTAAGAGCCTTGTTGGCCCAGTGGATTAAATGATGGTCTGCTAACTGAAAGGTCAGCAGTTTGAACCTACCAGCCACTAGAAAGATAAAGTAGTGTGTTTTCATAAAGATTGTAGCTTCAGAAATCCTATGGAACAGTTCTGTTCCAGATGGTTGTTATGAGTTGGAATCGACTCAATGGCAGTGAGTAGCTAAATTAGTTTACATTGCAAATACAGACAGAGTATTTAATGCAAATAAAACCAATAGACTGTGTTTTTTAATTTAACTTAATTTTTGGTGAAAATATGCACAGCAAAATCTTCTCTCATTCCACAGTTCCTGGACATAATGACCAGTGATACTGATTACATTCTTCACATTGTGTTAGCTGGGACTGTAGTTTTATCATTGAAAAAGTATGCACAAATTAAAAAGTTATATAGAGCATAACATTGTACTTATTTATTAGAAAAATTTGGTTAAGAACACTAACATCTAAAGTCAGTAATGGTCACTAATTATTTCTTTTTTTAATTCCAGAGACCTTTCAGTTTATTTCCAAAAGGCACCATGGTTTCCCTTTCAGTCTCACCTTTTTCCTGAATGGAATACAGGTGAACAGATTAAGCTCTTGCTGTGAATATAAGCATCGGAAAGGTTCCAGACTTGGAGGCAAACGTGGCTACTTTGGATTTGTGTGTGTCGAGAGATCATCTCCCTGCTACAAGTATGAAAACAAATGTCCTTTGGTAGTGCAAGTTTGCTATATGTTTCTTCTCATGCTTTTACTTATGCAGTTCTTTATAAAATTTGCTAGGAAAGATATCAGATGAGCCTCAAATATATGTTGAAGTTTCTTTGTTAGAATCATGAGTGTTGTATTTGAAACTATAAAATATAAATCTATAAATCACATTCCCAGATGGATTATATAACAGAGATAAAAGCTGGTGGTGTTTCTATTTCTATATCTCCCTTTCCCCATACTATTTAGACTTCTATTTCTGAATGAAAGAAGAGAGACTTTTTTGTACACTTTTTTGTTTAATGGGTTTTGGGCTGAGCCCTGCAGTATGTACGCATGATTTGTGTAGCTGCATGTTGTAAGTTATGCACGTCTCTGTTATGATGTGAACAAATTTTCATTATATGCCCCTAGTTTCAATTTGGTATAATGAAAATACTTGATAAAATGTCAGTTTTGGCTGTTGTTTATCAGATTGCATGTTGAACACACAGATTGAAGTTAGAAGATTTGCTTGCTTCGCAGACTTTTTATTTTAAGTTATTATGGAGAATTGACTCTGTAACAAACAGTGAAGTAACCAAAGTCCTTGCCTCTACAAAGTCCAGTGTAATGGAGGAAGGGCGAATAGCATAAAAATAAACTAATTAATATATGTCAGGCAATAATAATGCTATGAATAAAAAAACAGACAGGGGAGCTAGAGATGAGAAAATAATGACGTTTCAGAAGTGCTCTGTGAGCTGGGAAGTCTACCATTCTATCTCATGTAGGTCTCTTGGTTCTGCCACATCCGTTGTCACAATTTCTCTGCTACAGCTTCTTGATATCTCTTGCATCATAGCTCTTTGATGCTGTAGGATATGGATTACTGACCACAAACTGCTCACTGAAAACTCTATACAGTGTTGCTATGAGTCAGAACTGACTTGACTGCTTTTAAACAACAACAGTAACAACATAGTCATTTGGAGTCCTGGTGTGGCACTGCGAGTTAATGCTCTGGACCACAAGATCAGGTTGAACAACAAGGTCGGTGATTCAAATACACCGGCCACTCCTTGGAAACCCTATAAGGGTGGCTATGGGTCAAAACCAACTTGATGACACTTAATCACAACAACAACAATGAAAACTATAGCTAGAAGAACCATAGCGAATAATTCACTGCACCAATGTGGTGGCAGGACTTCAATCAGTTCATGGAAATATTCCATTATCTTTAATTCTGTTTTTCCACAAACTTTTTGAAGCCCCTTGTATAAAGAGCTTAAGATAGAGATATGCTTGATATGCTTGAGCTAATGTGCTTTGAGCAAAAGAGGAATTGAACAATAAGGAATTGAGATCCAAGACCCAATGGGGCCAAGCTACAAAGGTTCATTCCAAGGACTTTACCTTTTATTCTGAATGAGATAGATCTTCAGTGAGGATTTTGAGGAGTAAAATGCCATGATCTGACTCTAACTCCTGTGTGAAAAATAAACATCAAAAAAAGAGTGAAAACAGGCAGAATATTATTTTAATGCATACTTTAATAAAAAGAGAAAAGCGGATAGAGTTAGAAGTGATTGAGTTCTAGATGTATTTTGAAAATATATTTAGAGATTTAACTAGTATTGGGTGGTGTAGGATACATGAGAAAGAGGGAGTCAAAGATAATTCAAAGGATTTTAGCCTGAAAACTGAAAAGTTGTATACTAAACATGTACTCCTGGTGTAGCTATGGTGAGCTTGACATATTTTCATTCTAGTGTACATTGGGTTGCTTTGAGTGTTTCATTCTATTGTATATTGAGTTGCTTTGAGTTGGTACCTAATAACAACAACAACCTTGTATGGCTATGGGATCAGCACTGGACTGTGAAGCATAAGGTCAGCAGTTCAAACTCATCAACTGCTCCTTAAAATCCCTATACACAGGGTTGCTATGAGTTGGAACCAACTCCAAGGCACTTAACAACAGCAATAGTAAACAGTTATTGTATAGAAAATAAAATAAACTTTCTAAACATTTTAATCACTAAGTAAGTAAAAACAATTTAAATGAAGGCATGTTGTTGTTAGGTGCCATCGAGTCGTTGTTGTTGTTAGGTGCCATAGCGACCTTATGCACAGCAGAACGAAGCACTGCCCGATCCTGAGCCAACCTCACTACTGTTGCCATGCTTGAGTCCATCGATGCTGCCACTTGGCCAATCCAGCTCATTGGGGTCTTCCTCTTTTTCTCTGGCCCTACCAAACATGATATCCTTCTCCAGCGACTGGTCCCTCCTGACAATATGTCCAAAGTATAAGAGATGAAGTTTGGCCATCTTGGCCTCCAAGGAGCACTCTGGCTATATCTCTTCCAACACAGATCTGTTGGTTCTTTTGGCAGCCCATGGCACTTTCAATATTCTCTTCCACCATAACTCAAAAAGCATCAATTCTTCTATGGTTTCCTTATTTACTGTTCAGCTTTCGCATGCATATGAGATTATTGAAAATATCATGGCTTGGGTCAGGCACACCTTAGTCTTCAAGCTGACATCTTTGCTCTTCAACACTTTAAAAAGGTCTTGTGCAGCAGATTTGCCTAAAGCAATATGTCATTTGATTTCTTGACTGCTGCTTCCATGAGTGTTGATATTAGATCCAAGAAGAATGAAGTCTTTGACAACTTCAATCTTTTATCCACTGATAGGAATGTTGTTTGTTGGTCCAGTGGTGAGGAAATTTGCTTTTTTTTACATTGAGATGCAATCCATACCGAAGGCAGTGCTCTTTGATCTTCATCAGTAAGTATTTTAAGCCCTCTTCACTTTCAGTAAGCAAGGTTGTATCATCTGCATATTGCAGGTTGTTAATGAGTCTTCCTCCAATCCTGATGACATGTTTTTCTTCATATGATCCAGCTTCTTGGATTATTTGCTCATTCATGCAGGTTTGAAAAAATACAACCCTGTCACACACCTTTCTTAATTTTAAAACATTCAATGTTCCCATGTTCTGTTCAAACAACTGCCTCTTAGTCAATGTACAGATTCCTCATGAGCACAATTAAGTATTCAGGAATACTCATACTTCGCAATGTTGTCCATAGCTTGTCATGATCCACACAATCGAAAGCCTTTGCAGAGTCAATAAAGCACAGGGAAACATCTTTTGGATATTCTCTGCTTTCAGCCAAGATCCATCAGACATCAGCAATGATATCCCTCATTCCACAGCCTCTTCTGAATCCGGCTTGAACCTCTGGAAATTCTCTGTCAATGTATGCTTGCAGCCATTTCTGTATTACCTTTAGTAAAACTTTACTCACATGGGATATCAAAGAGATTGTCCGATGATTTCCACATTCTGTTGGGTCACCTCTCTTTGTAATAGGCATAAATACAAATCTCTTCTAATCCGTTGGCCAGATTGTTGTCTTACAAATTTCTTGGCATTGATGAATGAGTACCACCTTACTTTCTTAAAAGATTTCAATTTTTATTCCATTAATTCCTGCTGCCTTGTTCTTTGCCAATTCCTTCAATGCACCTTAGACTTCCTCCTTCAGTATCATTGGCTCTTCATCATATGCTACCTCTTTAAATGGTTGACTACCAACCATTTCCTTTTGGTACAGTGTCTCTGTGTATTCCTTCCATCTTCTTTTGATGCTTTCTGCATCATTCAATAATTTGCCCAGAAAATCTTTCAATAACAAAAGAAAAGGCTTGAATTATTTCTTCAGTTCCCCCAGCTTGAGAACTGCTGAGCGTGTTCTTCCCTTTTGGTTTTCTGACTCCAGATCCTTGCACATTTTGTTGTAATATTTGGCTTTATATTCTTGAGCTGACCTTTGAAATTTTCTGTTCAGCTTTTTACCTCCTCATTTCTTCCATTTGCTTTAGCATCAATACACTGGAGAGCAAGTTTCAGTGTCTCTTCTGACATCCATTTTGACCTTTTCCTTCTTTTTTGTCTTCTCAATGACTTTTTGCTTTCATGAATTATGATGTTCTTGATGTCATCCCACAACTCTTGTGGTGTTTGATCTTTAGTGTTTAATGTGTCAAATCTATTCTTCAGATGATCTCTAAATTCAAGTGAGATACATTCAAGGTCATGCTTTGGCTCTCATGCACTTGTTTTCATTTTCTTCAGCTTCAGCTTGAATTTGCATAGGAGCAATTGATGGTCTGTTCCACAATCTGCCCCTGGCCTTGTTTTGACTGATGATATGGAGGTTTTCCATCATCTCTTTCCACAGATGTTGTCAATTTGATTTGTGTATTCCATCTGGTGAGGTCCATGTGTATAGATGTGTCTTATGCTATCTACAAAAGGTATTTGAAATGAACAAATCATTGATTTTGCAGAATTCTATCATGCATTTTCCAGCATCATTTCTATCATCAATGCCATATTTTCCAACTACTGATCCTTCCTCTTTGCTCCCAACCTTTGCATTCCAATCACTAGTAATGATCAATACATCTTGATTGCATGTTTGATCAATTTCATATTGAAGAAGTTGGTAGAATGCTTCTATTTCATCCTCACTGGCTTTAGTGGTTGGTGCGTACATTTAAATAATACTGGTATTAACTGGTCTTCCCTGTAGGCTCATGGATATTATCCCATCACTGACAGCATTGTACCTCATAACTGATCTGGATATATATTTTTTTGACAATGAATGCAACACCATTCCTCTTCGGTTTGTCATTTTCGCCTAAGTAAACCATGTGGTCATCAGATTCAAAATGGCCAATAACAGTCCATTTCAGCTCACTAACGTCTAAGATATCAATGTTTATGTGTTCCATTACATTTTTGACAACTTCGAATTTTCCCAGATTCATACTTCGTACATTCCATTTTCCAATTTCCAATGCATGTTTACAGCTGTTTCTCTTCATTTTGAGTTGTGCCCCTTCAGCAAATGAAGGTCCCACGGGCCTTTCTCCCACTGGCTTTACTCCATTCGCATCATCATGGTCAACTCTACT